AAACTTATAAAATGAATCACAAAAATTATATATTTATACAATAAAAAACTTCGCAAATCATTTGAGGTCATGGTCAATAGAGGAGTAAAAACTTCGCGTGGAGCAAAGGGAGGTGCCTGCCAGCTGTACATGCCAAGTGGCGGTTTCTTGTCCAGGCAACAAGAGCTGAAAAATTCGTGGAAGTGGGGACCACTTTGGTGAGGATAGGCGCTTCAGCCATCAATGTCCGAACCGGTGGAGATTAAATGCGATCCTGCCGCCCAGAAACTGTTTGGGAAGCTTATGACGTGGCGGAACAACAAAGATTGGCCACTTGGCTGATTTTATGACTAAATGCTTTCGTTACCCTGACGTACTTGAACTTTGCAGTCTGTGGACAAGTGCTTGGTCAAACTGCCAAATTAAAGAACTGCTGCTGTCTATTATGTCTCCAAAATTCCCTCCTAACATATTTTTTTGTTAATTTTTTTGACAAATTATTTATTATTAAAAATTAAAAATTTCAATTTTATACAATATTAGGGTTAACTATGCTTAAAGATACGGTGCAATGTAAATTAACTGATTAATTTTAAAAAAAAATTTCTTTAATTTGTTTTAATTATAAATTCTTGAGAGGGATATTAGTGACTATTAGATGAATTTATTTGAGACCGTTAGATGAACTTATTGAAATTTATCCTATTTTATATTATAAATATCTCACTTGAATGAATTATATATAATTTGTTAAAAAAATTTTAAAAATACATTATATGAGATCTCACTGTTTCAAAATAGAGTTACGAAAACAAAATATTTTTTTTATATCACATCTTCCCTATTTAGCCGATGAAATCTTGTCATGTGTAATTTTATATATTTATTATTATTTTATTACCTTATAATCAATAATTATGTTTAATTTAAAATTAACAATTCGGATCATTTTTCAATATGACTAGTCTTATTAAATTTTCAATCTATATATATAATTTATAATATAAAATAAGACAGACTATAATAAGTTCATTTGACCATTTTAAATAAATTTATTTGACGGCCACCAACATTTATGTCAAAATCATTTATATTGAATTTCTCCCTCCCCTCGAATTCATTACTTCAAACACAGATTTACCACCTAGTTGTTAACGAAGTTAACAGTATTTTAGTTGCCATTCGTGGCCATTACTTTCAATGTTATGATATTAATAGTTCTTTTGCTTTGGAGTGAAAAATATGCACGTGGACCCCACTGACTCTGGTGGCAATTTTAATTGTATATCATTCTAGAAAACTGACTTCGACCGGTCAAATAAAAATGCAGTTTCACAAAGGAGTTGTCTATGATAACAAAAGAAAAATAAATTAGTATTATACTAATATTTATGATATATATATATATTTTTACCATTGTTATAAAACTAAAAAAAAATGATATAAATAATTATCACAATAATGATAAAAATACTCATAAAAGTAATACTTTTTTTGTACAAAAAAAAAGTGGTGAGAATAATTATCACAATATTGATAAAAAATATTTATAAAAATACCCATTAAATTTTGATAGTACGGTACCACATTTATTTTTGAACACGGCAGTCAAGTCCGACAAAGAAAAATGACTCAAACTATAAATGAAAAACATCATCCCTAGCACATCTCAGATTCCTTGAAATGGGTCAGAGGAGAAAATTTGAAATGAATTTAACATACCAGGTGACACTATTTTGTGGTTTGTAAAAGTTGTCACAAAATTTGTAAGAACAAAAAAAAAATCAAAGTGATTACCAACTTAGCAATATTAAATGAATAAACCAAGCCTAACTTGATAAACTAGTTTTGACAATAACAAATTATATATTATGGATGCATATAATATAACTATTGATACATGTATCAAATTAAAAACTAATAATTAAACAAATGCAATTGAACACAATAGAAAACAATGAAAAAAAAATATAAAAAATTTAGCATTTGAGAGTCTATTAGGCACATCGAAACGTGTCCTAAAGCGACTGAACCTCCTTACACGAAGATATTAATAAACTACAACAACTGCAAGATTCAACCCAGATTCAAAAATAAAAACTCTTCAAAATTCACTTACATTGAAGAGTAGGGATGAATCAAACTCTAATCGAGTTACCCGAAAATTAATATAATTAAAATACTTAAGAACGTAGAAAAGAACAAAACCAAACTATTTTGTGAACAACAAACAAAAAATGAGAGGCTAAAAGTTTCTTTCAATTTTTCCTCAAATGAAAACCAAAGGCTAATAAGTTTCCGTGAGTTTTTCCTTTCAATTACCGCAGAACACCCTTTACCACCCTTTATATAGGCAGTGGCTATCCAAGCGGTGGAAACAAAATAGCAGTAGAAATAATGCTGTTGGGGAGGAAAGAACACAATGGCTTGGACTGCTCAATTGGGTTGCAACTTTTTTAAAAATCAAACTTCAATTCAAGTTTCAAAGTTCAACTGTCATATCTTACGAAGAATTCCTCCACATGTACATGGTATAAAATAATCCAAAACATTAAATACCTCTTAGAAAAAAGATGAAAGATGGAACCATTTTGAAAAAGAAAAAACTTATTAATTTATTCCAACAAAATTAGCTTGTGAGACAAAAATGACAGTCATTACAGTGGATGTGAAGCCTTTAAAAACAACTAGAAAGAGGAGCCCCAATTAAGCAATTTAAGCACAAAAAGTTATAGGTACATTTTGGGATGTAGATCCAGGGCTTACAGCAGCATGCAGATAAAGATCAGAAGCATTGACTTAACCATCTGAAGCAATCACGAGCTAAAATGCAACGACATAAGATCCAGAAAAGTAAAAGATATAATCAACTTGCAAACATGACATGAACTTCTAAGGCAAACCAAAACTCATTCAACTTACAAACCCAAACCTGCATATCGCTTAAGCTCATTATATGCCTGACAAAGTTCTCGATAGCGGCTTCTGTAATGTTCCAGGGAGAAACATAGCTGCCGTATAGCCTCCCTTTTCTCTTCGGTTCTTTCGGAGATTTCAACTCTCTGCTTATCCACCTCTTTCTCTAGCTCCTCGGCTCTCAAATATAGTGCGTTTGTACGTTCTCGAGCACCTTCAATTGTACCAAGCACCGCCTTATTTGCCTCATGTTGCAAGTGCATCTGACTCAGTTGATGCCCCATTTCTCGAATTTGATCGTTCCGACAACACAACTCTGCACTGAGGGTGTTTGCCATAGCACTTACCCCATCTTTCTCTGCCATTAGCATATTGTATTCCAACTTTAGCATGTCAAGTTTTTTACACAAAACTTCCTTTTGTTCACTTCTCTCATTTACTTCGGTCTTTAACCTTTCAATATCACATTGCCAACTCATCTGTTCGGCTTCATGCAAACTTTTTGTCTCCTTCTTTTCAGCTTCAAATCGACTAGTCTCGTTTTCTAATGATTTGCATCGCAGTTTCCATTCTTCAATGCTCGTCCAAAGGAGGTTTTGTTGTTCTGACAAACTAGCAATATCAGATTGGAGTTGAGATTTCTCCAGAGAGAAATTTTGTTGGGCATCACAGAATGCAGCTTTCAATTCCCTGATCTCAGTATCGCGGTCAGACACATCAACCACATACCTTTTTATCTGCCCTTTCAGTTGCAGAACAATACTTTCCTCTGAAACAAGCTTGGCCTCCAACAATGATACAACTTTCTGGGCTGACTCAAGCTGATCTTGTAATTGATGAGCACAATCAATTTTTTTGTTTGAGAGATCAGGTTCCTCTGCACCCTTATGTTTCTCTCTAGTGATCTCCAACTCTTTCTGCAATGTCTTAATTATGCCATTAGAGTCCAGAACCTGATTTTTCAATGCAGATACCTGTTTTTGTAGTTCCAACACCATTCTTCTCTCCACATCAAGATCAGCCCCTTTCATTTGGATATCACATTGTGCTGATTCAGGTTGAGCCATTAAATCACCCATAAGAACGATACCTGGTTCGTTCTTCTGGAGCTCACTCTTCAACCTGACAATCTCTTCTTCGGAAGACTGAACCTTTTCCTTTGCTTCCCTGAGTTCCTCATTATACTCGGTGATGCTTTTAAGCAATTTTTCAGGATCCCTATCTCCTCCTACTTCCAATGTCTCATCTGCCTTTTCTTGCTTGGCCACCCAGACATTCTCCTCCTTGCCAGTCTCTAGTAATTTTTGGCGCTGCCCTTTGCTGTCATCTTTCACCAAAGGAAATGAGTTTTTGTTCAAAAGGGATTCAAAAGATTCTGAATCTGAGTCAGATGATGATGATGAAGTTTCATAACCTCCCTTTAAAGAAATATCAGAACTACCCCCACCAGAGCTTACATATAACTCAGACTCAATAGCTGGTTCAGATTTGTGCAGACCCAACTTCTGATCTGGGGTTAGCAATGGAGAAACTTGATAAGAGCCAGAATCAGAAATCCCTTTATGCTGCGTTTGTAGCAGGGATGCAGTGTTATTGCGTAATTCTCCAATCAAATCGTCATAGCGCTTAGCCAGCAGTTGGTGCATGCAATAAAACTCCTCAACATGTGCAATCAACTCTGGCTTTTTCTGGTAATAAACCTCAGGGTTAATCTCAGAAGAACTTCCATCTACAATCAAATTTAGCAGTTGTTTGATATCTTTGACCCTCTGATCCGCCCCTGCATGTACACAATATTCTAGCAATTACTTGTCACAGAGATTTACCAATTAAGAGTTCTTTAATAGGCAATTCAAGCATGAATGTTTAGTGTTCAACCAAAGCGTATGTTAAGAGTACTCGAAAGGCCATTAGGACCATCAAACATAAATGGCCAGTTAAATGGCGAGTAATGGCCAGTTAGAAACCATAAGGGTAACTGAAAGAAACCATAAATGATGTGAATTACAACTTTGCTACCCACCTTGACGATTTTTAGAAAGCCATTCAAAATTTTCATTGCTAATATGGCTGTCCCACCACCATGAATGTGACTTTGGCTCAATAGTCTCCATATTCAGCATCAAGGCGTCCTGAAATATAAAAATGTCAAAGCTCAAGACTTAATTTAATGAGCATACAAGTAATATCAAAATGTGCAATAAGGATTCATTCAATAATTGTGGGTCAGCCAACATTGGTTGAAAATTTGAAAATTCTACTAGGAGAACAATGCAAAAAATCCAGAACCTAGAAATAATCCAATAAAGAGGTAATCCTGTGACCGGAGGAAAGAAATAGGGTTTGAATATATTAAGCTCTAATGCACAACAAGTGATTAATAACCAAAATAACAGAAAAATAACTTCCTACCGTAATCCTGCTTATCCCAATAGTTTTAAACTTGGAGGTTAGTTTCTAGAGTTCTAAATAACATATACACCACTCACCTCAATTTAACTCACCTCACCTCAACAAAACTTTTATCCCAACTATAGAGGTTAGCTACATAAATCTTTATTCTTCTATCAAAGGTTATATTTTTTTTTTGTAAACCATCACCATTTTTTACTATTTCATTCAAAATTGTTTTAGCCTACCTCTATCTCTTGCTACGATCTGCACGTCATGCTACTACTGCCGAAATAGCAATTATCCAACACTAAACATACACCACATAATTTTACCTGGGAAACTCCATCAATTCATATATAAGCAAAGCACCAAGATAGAAGCTAAAGCCTATAGGCATATGCCAATTGTAAATTGAAAATTTTAGAATCTCTCTTCTAATATTTCACAAAATAGTTACAACTCAATTTTTTCTTGTTTGGTCATTTACACTGCCGTCATGAAACCCTGGTGTCTGCATAGTAAAACACTGAACTAGCTTAGCCTGTTAACCAAGTTCCGACTATATGCTCTGCTACAACTAACCATCCACCATTACTAGGTGTTTTTTCTGCCCATCGTCCAACTATTATGTAGGGATTTGAAGAGCAAAAAATTGGAAAATAAAACTTGAGGAAAAAAGGAATATCCTAAACCAAAATTCAAAAAGAAATCCATAACAGCTTCTATGCTCAGAGACAATGATGTAAACATCTACTCTTTAGAGTTTAATTTTCAGAGCAGCATCCACTTCGTTCAAATAGTACCAATTCAGTGTTTAGCACATTAGGATGAGATGTGTGTGTTGTTGGGATTTAACACTTAATTTAAATCCACTAACAAACACACACAATCGAAGAACAAATCAAGAAAATAAAGCAATAAGAAACAAGAAAGAACAAGACACAGATTTTACGTGGTTCGGCAATTTGCCTACGTCCACGAAGCTGCAGGGATTTCACTAATGAGAGAGTTGAATTACAGAGAGCGGCTGTACAATCCACAACAAACCTTAATCACCAAAACAACAAGGTTTATATGTCCTACGCACTGGGCTGTATAACGGGCCCAAACGCCGTAGCGCTCATGGACTAACCCTCAGAAAATTTTCCATTAAAAACTACACAACATTATTTCGGGTCGAGTCATCATCCGGATCACATATACAAACTAGACTCCATAAAAAAAAAACCAACATGTGTTGTGTGGGCAAGTGTATGGTACCGACGTCACCGTCCCGCTATTAATCTCGACCATCAATTTTGAATTGAATGATCTACGCTCATAGATTGAAAAATAATAAAATTATAAAATAAAAAATATATATTGATCGAATGTACGAAAATGAAAAGGTACTTTTTGGTGCTGTGATGCTTCCTGTAAACGACACAGAGCAAAGAAACACCCAAAAAGTTGATTGATGCGAAATACAGTCAAGCTGATGACACACCCATGATCGCAACAATAATACCTAAATTCTGAGAAAATGGCAGAAATGTCCAAAAAAATAACACCAGATTTCGGGTTAAAAGCCTTCAGATAAACTACGACACCTAATTTGAAGCTGAAATTATGAACAACAAAGAACAATTATTCGATAGCAGTAAAGAAAGTAACAAGACTGAAGAATATAAAGCCCAGTGAACCGACCTCTATAATCAGAATGCAAGCCGCCGGATCAAGAAGCTTGAGAAACGAATGGATAATTGAGGAAGAAAGGGTTGCCGAGAGAGAGAGGAGAGGAGAGGAGCGTAGATCTTGCTTTTGAACACAAGAAGAAAAGACCGAGAGAAAGAGAACACTATGACCTCACAAGAGACTTGACAGCGAGACGCCGACCTGTGAAATTTCCCATTTTGGGCCAATATGTTCCCGCCTCTTTGGTTCAAAGTTATTTTATGAACTATTTACCCTTTTCATAGGCAGGTTTTCAAATCCTTTTGAATTTTTTACCTAAATATTTTTTTTTTATATGCAATAATTGATTAATGTTTGTTTTTTTTTTTATCGGACAAGGGTATTCGAATTAGTTTACGTGCATATTGACTAATTCATTACTTGGTTCGGTCAAATGTAATGTTAACCATTCACGCCGGGAATAAGATATTTATGAGGAATTTATCCCTCATATCTTATCCCGAAGAGATTATCAAAATTCAAACTCATGACATCTCTAAATTTATAATTTGTCATTGTTATCACTTAAACTACTTTTAAAATTATCAGTGTTCTCTTCGCCCAAGGATTGACTCACTATTTTCCTAGTTGTGAGTATGAAGAGTGATCAATTAGATCAAACTGGCTCACTATTCTCCTAGTTGTGAGTATGAAGAGTGATCAATTAGATCTGTGCGTGCAAGATCCTGCACAATATAAAAAACGAGAACAGATCTCTCCCTTGGTAAACTCGTGTGAGCCGGTTGAGTGACCAAACACGCTGCTTGGGACAGCCTGCAAGGTACGGTGGTAACCTCGAACGGCAACGGGAGACCCTGGGAAAGGAAGAACGATCCTGTAAGGCTGAAAGAGGTTCCTGGAACAAAGAAGAACAAGTTAGAAGGGCGCCGGAGTGTTTTCTGGCGTATCCCCTCCGACGATCTAGTCAGTCTTTGAGAGAGAAAGAGAGAGGAAGGAGAAAACACTGAGTGTGTATTGTAGTAGAGAGTTTGTTGTAGTATACCCGCTTTGCCTTTTGCAAAGAGTATTTATATCTTAAAAACTCATGATTGCTGTCAGTGTGGTCAGTAGGTGATCATTAGGCACAGGTAGCGTGTGCATTGATTCTGATGAGGAATGTCTTCTCTAATTAACTGCTCGGGGTCCCGAGCAATTAATGCTGGATCATCGGGATGCCGACGGTACAATGTGCTCCTCTCGGGGAGGATGCAATAAATGCTCTGTAATAGGAGCATTTATTGCCTTTCATTTTCGAGCCTTACCGCATTGAATGTGGTCTCATCAAGGGAATGGTGTAATTAATTGTTTGCCTTCCCAAGTCGCGTGTCAGCAACGGCATGCGGTTTGTCTGTCTTTGATGTGATATCATATGCCACGCGTCCATCCCCTATTGGCTGTGACCTCTGTATTCCAGTACGTTCTGACATTACTTGTGTAAGACGAGGTCATGATGAATAGCCTAGACTAGCCTAGGCTAATGACCTGTACGTCAATAGCTTATCCTGGAGTAGAGGAAGCGTCCAGGAGGGGGTACCTCTCGGCACCGAGGAAATGCTCATCTCGGGGACCGAGGGAGGTATGCGACCGAGGTACATATCAGACCGAGGCCACGTGTCGGTTGTAAAATATACTGAATGTATGATCCTATATGACGGTACCTCGGGGGCGAGGACATTCGTGCGCCGATGGTGCTTGATCTTAGCAATAGCGTTTTAGTAAAATCGAGGACACGTGTCTTCATCATAGGGTATTTCAAAAAAGTCCCATCAAAATCAAACTTAGTTTAGGTTCACCTCAACAAATTGAATCACCATTATTGTCAAGTATTTTCTATTCAAACGAAACATCATTAGCTATTCCGTTGAAAACTAAACTTTTTATATTTGGATCCAGATTTACATAATAAGTTTTTACTTTAAATAATTTCACTATGAATTTTGTGCAGACAAAATGATCAAAATAACTTAATAAAATCTTAAAATGTGCGCATCACCACCATACATCGTATTACTATTCTCGTTTAAATGTTGAAAATTATTTTATCAATTCTTCATGTCTTGTAGTAAAATGGACTATTTCATCAATTCCTATACAAACTTGACGTGAATCAAAAAAAAAAATTAAAATCAGTAAATAGGGTATACAACAGGCAACAGGCAACATTTACTGAACATCTGTTTAAGGGTATCTTCGTAAACTCAATTATCGATAATCGCGCCCAAAGAAGACCCCACAAGGCGTTAGACCCCACATTAACTTGCCCAGGTCACCTTACGCAAAAAAATACAAACTGCCCTGGGCACCGAAATAATAGCTCAACAAATTTTGGCGGGATAAATACTAGAGGGGTTTAAAAACAGAAATAGTCAAAAAAAGCATTGATGCTTAGTGGCCCCACGCACATGCACACTCACTCACACACCGATCATTTATGATACACAACAACTATCTATATAGTATGGGCTGGTTCTAGTCACCAAGCCCGTATTTCTAGTCGCCAAGTCCATTAAACATGTAACATTTTCCAAGGGGAAATTGGACGAGGGAATATCAAATCGAAATTAATCTATATTACTTATAAATATTGGCATCTAGGAAAAATTTTTGATTTTTTATTTTACCCTTAATTATTACACTAAAGACAATTATGCCCACAAAATAATAGTTAAATAAACTTTATCTCTATGACTTCCAAATTTTTTGTTGCTATATAAATTTTATCACTATATATTAATTAGATAAAATTAATTTCTATTACTTTCAATATTTATCTCAACTAGAATTCTAATATGATGTGAAAAAAAAATTGTTGTTTTTAGCTAGATAAACTTTAACTCTATTACTTCCAAATTTTTTGCTGTTATATAAATTTTATCAGTATATATTAGTTAGATAAAATTTATGTCTATGACTTTCAAAATTTATCTCAACTATAATTATAATATGATGTGAAAAAAAATTGCTAATTTTTAGGATATAAACACAACCATCGAAAATTCATTATTCATTGTTATAT